AGGAATGCTTGCTCTGACTGTCATCTGTGTCCGAGGGTCCCCTGGAAGTCCTGGAGGGGTTTCTCCCTGCCCCAGGTTCCCCTGTGACGCCTTGGGGTCCAGGTTGGGCAGCTGGAGTTGGACACAACAGAGTTGGTGGGAGTCGGACGGAGCCCCAAGTCAGCCAGGCCCCATACCTACTCCATGGACCCTCCCCGCTCCCGGCCTCACCCTCCCCTCTTCACCCCTGCCCTCCACCCAGACCGCAACGTGAGCCGAAGCTGTACTGATGAGGGCTGGACACAGCTGGAGCCTGGCCCCTACCCTGATGCCTGTGGCTTCGATGACAAGGAATCAGGTTTGGATGAGGTGGGCATCAGTGCACCCCACCAGCTCCATCAGAGTGCCTTGGCATGCTGGGCTCCTTCCATTTTCTCCCACCAGGGCATGAGGCTGCCACCTGTGTGGGAGCCGGGACTCCGGGGGTCTGCCCTCCCCGTGCCTCTTCCCTCTCCAGGCCTGTATTTCCGGGGGCTCATCCCCAGCCAGGCCACCCCACTGCCTCCTGGGAGCCTTGCTCCAGCCCTGCAGATGGCAAGGCAGGCAGATACCATCCTCCCTATTGTGTGCAGAGGGGAAACCGAGGTGCAGATCCTAGAAGGAACCAACAGCCAGTCAGGAGCTGGGACAGGACTAGGACCATTCTCCTCAGTCCCAGGACAGGGATCTACCCAGGAGCAGGTGAAGCATAGGTGGTCACTGTAAGGATGTGGGGCCAGAAGCCAGGCAGGGATACTGATGGGGAGGCTAGAGTGTAATTGTAGTCAGCTAGGAGCCCTCATTGCTTTGGTGTGTGAACACACGTGTGCATATGTCTGAGGCAGGGCTTTCACTCCTCCCAAGAGGGCAGCGATTTCCTCAGAGGTCGTGGGGCTCACCAGATTGTCAAGATCTAAATCCCCTGAATCCCTCTTAACCACTTGCCTCTACTAGGGGTTGGGGGCGGGTGAGGCAAAGAGAAAGGAGGGGTCTGCCCAGCGACCCTGGCTCTGCGTGCGCGTGTGTGTGTGTGTGTGTGTGTGTGTGTGACATCAAGAGGGTGACAACAAGAAGCCTTTGGGATCCAGCTTGTGCTGCCTCCCACAAAGGCCAGACTGCCCTCATCCTGCTGACTCAGCCCCTGAGATCCCCCCAAATGGGAAAGCACCCCCACAGTGTCTTCCTTACCTCCTCCACCCGCTGTGTGCCTCTCACCCCACACGGACACATGATAGAAGAATGAATGGACAAATGAAACGTGTGCAGTTTTTGCTTTTTCCCTCACTGACATTCCCCCTGAAGGAGCAGAGAGAGGGAATGAATTCAACCTCACCCTGGAAAGCAGTTCTGTCCCATCTTGGAAACTGGGGGGGTCAGGAGGCCTCGGGCCTGAAGGGGGCAGCACAGCCGCCTCATCTGCCAAGGCAGGGATGGGCAAGCAGGGTGTGTAGGACGCCCCACCCCTGCCGATACCCTTAGGTGAGTTCTCCCCACCCCCACCCAAGATCCTCACCCACCTCCCTCTAGCAGCAGCTGAAAATGTACTACAGTTCTGTGAAGACTGGCTACACCATTGGCTACAGCCTGTCCCTCGCCACCCTTCTGGTTGCCATGGCCATCTTGAGCCTGTTCAGGTAAGGTCCAGCCCCAGGAATAAGCCTCAGAGAAAACCTAGCCAGGTCACTCCCATGTTTGAGCCCAGTCTCGCTGAGACATGCTCTGCCCACCTCCTCTGTTAACCCCGCCGCCCCACCCCACCCCCAGCACAGAGTCCCTGCCCCAGCCTCCCAGCCAGGCCAGCCTCCCCTAGCGACAGCAGGTGGCTCAGTGTCCCACCTGCCATAGTCTAGTCCCCCACAAGATGGCCTTGCACCTGGGGACAGGGTACCAGAGGGTGGGGCTTGTGCACCTGGAAGCTGAGGCACTTGGAGGCCAGGCTGCCCCTGGGGATGGGATACCTGGGACAGGGCCCCGCTTTGGGGCGGTGCCCTCACTTGGAGGCCACATGCTCCCTCTGCCCGGCCCTCACTCCGTGCACTGGGCAGTGTTGGCTGGGGTAGGGGTCCGAGGCCCCTTTGACCT